CACACACACACACACACACACACACACACACACACACACACACACACACACACACACACATAATATAAGCCGAGGGAAACATAAGGTACATGTGTCCTCAAAGAACATTTAACTCACTTTTTCTTGGTTTATGGCACGAGGGACATGAAAAATGTATTTCTTTCAAAAACCAAAGAACTACTACACTTTTATTTGTAAGCACATTACTTTGTCGTTGCTCCCTTTTTGTGTGGTTAAAGACCAAATCAAAACTAGTAATGTGAATTCTTTAACCAAACTGTTATGAAACCAATGTTCTTATTTGGTAATCTTTGCAGAAAAATACATTTATATTGTCTGCATGGATGAAATTACAGTGAGTGTTTGATGCTAGACTGAAATAAACACTCTCATGTTAATGTTAGGTATATACAATATGTAGTTATTTTGAATCTCATCATATAAATTTAGTGACTAAGAAAAGCATGTGATTTAACAACAACCCAGAAAGCTAAGGCCTGATTAAATATTTCCAAAAATACTCACAATATATCCAGATTAGTTCAATGTGGAAAAAAACTACTGTCTACACAGAGTTCCATTAGAAATCAAACAGTATGTATTATACATGCAGAAAATATTGTCATTATAACTGATGGATGAAAGGGGTTAAATGTGACGATGATACAAAAAAATAGATCTGAAGACAAACAGTTGTGTTTACTTCTGATCCAATATAGTTTATGCAGTCATGGCAACAACTGAAAACTCAGACATTTATAAATTACATCCTTATATAACTCAGGGCGTAATAAATAAATTATATTTAGATTTGTGCTAACAAATAGAAGCAATCATGAGGGTATTTTGCAGCCAAACAATAAAACAGTAACAAACATTTTGTGACAATATAAAGTGCAAATGTTCAAGTGTTCCTTAAATTCAATTGTTTGTTCACTCAGGTCTCATGATTCTATGTGTCTTGTCTTGAATAAAACTCTTAAAATTAGTCCTTTTATTGTACGTGAAGGTTTTTTTTTCTGACGTGTTTGATTTTCCTCAAAGAAGGTCCTATTTGGAGGTGCAAAATTGTGTCTCCTCCATTTTGACAATTTAAATAGTTTGCTCTTGATTTCATCAACAGTTAGTCTTTTTATGCTACAAAAGTATAAAGCAACTTCTCAGCAGTAAAACAATAAGTTTTATGTTGTAGAACAAATCAATCTAGGTGCCATGAAGGCTGGTTAAATCAAACACAATAAAACCAAAATGAAATGGCATGAAGTTACCAAAGCACACTAAAGCAAATGGCAAGCAAAGCACACTGATGCGCAGACATGGCCCAGGACAAGGATGAAATGTCCTCATGAAGGTGGACGAGGGGGAAGAAACGGCGTTTGCCCACACACAAACACATTTACCCTGTGTCTCTGTGGACTGAGAGAACCAGCCAAACTTTCCCTTCTTCTTCTGAGTGAGGTCAGCCAGCGTGACCCCTGGGTGTTATCAACATGCAGTTCACACAGCCAGACAGCAGAGGCAGCAGTGAGTCGATACACAGCAAAACAAGAAAGAGAGGAATGTATGGCAAGCTGCAAAACAAACTACTGATTCGGCTACCGTGTCCAGAGAAAAATTAATATTTTACACTGTAGATACCACTGAAATATTATGATGCTGTAATTTACATGCGTATTACCAAGAAAACAGTTTCATAAAAATTTTTTAAAATAAAAAATGATATATTCAATATTAACACTGAATAAAAAGAGCATAATGTATTAATAATAGCCAATAGCTCTCCTAATTCAACAAATTCTGGACACAATAACCATACAATATACATTATAGGGGTGTAACAGAATGCAAGAGTCACGATTCAGTAGAACAAAAAGATAAGAAAATAACTCAGATGCCATTTTTTACTTGTTTTAAACAGACAGTAACAAGAAGCAGAGACTAAATTAACATGTTTCTCCTTTCTTTAGCTAGTTCAGTTCAGAGTAATCAATTTGACCTGAAATTAAACGGTAACATGTGAATATGAAAATATAAAACAAATAAAAATGTCAAACAGTCACTCAAATATTTTCAGCTAGGTGACAGTTATAGTGAGCTGTTTATACAGATTCTTAATAAATGTCTGTATCTTTAAAAGAACTTGTGATGCCACAAGGCATTTTAAAGTGTGTGAATTATGAAGCATTTGGTACTCCACACAACAAGTCTTTAAGCTCCTGTCATCTCCCGTTTGGTCATCAGAACTATTTATTTCTGTTTTTCCTGTAGTGTATAGTGCTTTAGTATCTTTTTGTGGCAGTTAACAAGAAGAAAAACAACAAGTGTGTTTTTCTGACTGTTTTCGCCTTTATTTTTTGACTGGTTGTCTAAATCTGTAGCGTGACATGTTACACCCCTAATATAATATAATATAATAT